AATATATTAGATATAACATATATATAGGTAGATAGCATATATATAGCATATACATATATGTGTGCTCTCTCTCTCTCTCTATCTATATATATATATATATATATATATGTGTGTGTGTGTGTGTGTGTGTGTGTGTGTGTGTGTGTGTGTGTGTGTATATATATATATATATATATATATATATATATATATATATATATATATATATATATATATATATATATATATATATATATATATATATATATATGAGGACTGCCTACTGCATTGAACGAGGACAGCCACGAAACAGGCTTCAATGGATGTGGTGTCTTCCCACAACCTTCGAAAACCTAATGGTATCCGCACGATTGTTTATTGTCATTCATACCAACCATATGATAATTGGAGACGCATAAGATTCGGGTAGACTGATGCCAAATCGCTGGTGGGTTCGTTAATGTCCAAATCATATTACGAAGAATTGAGCTATGTCAGTACTTTACATTAATAGGAAATCGTCCCCCGATCTACATAATAACCAAGTTTGACATTGCTTAACTTCGGTGATCGAACTACTTAAATCTCTTAAAAAAGCATCTTACACAACCAAAGATAAACATCTCCTTAACAATAGCTAAAATAATAAAAAAAAATTATCCCGTCTCATCAACAATCAATGCTATTTCACATTTAATAAAGATCTTCCCTTCCCTTAATTGAGTACTGTCAGTCATTGGCGTGTTTATTCACAGAACGTGAACATTCGGCTTTTTTTTCAAGCGTTCGCCGATAGATTAGGGAAAAATCTCCGACTGTTGCCGAATCAATGTCTGTGGATATATATATATATATATATATATATATATATATATATATATATATATATATATATATATATATATATATATATATATATATATATAAAAATCCCAAGCAAGACAGTAACGCCACTGGGACACAAGGTTTTACTGGGTGGGAAGAATTAGAAAACAGAAACTAAGAGTAACCAAGAGGACAGTATATAGCGATTGATATGATAGATAGATAGATAGATAGATAGATAGATAGATAGATAGATAGACTGAGTGAGTGAGAGAAGTAGAAAGATACAAGGCGGCGTATGGTTACCAACTGACCAAATGGATTAAGGGAACCGAGTTCGAATGCTGGATACGGTTTTTTCTTCCCACTAATGCCCTTTCGGAAAGCCAGAAATCCACGTATCCCTACGATCATTATCCTCGTCAAAATTTATCTCACAACAGACAAAATGTAGTGGGAGTGCACTTCGGCATACCACTTTCTAAAACTACCGTCTGAGGCTGTGCTATTAACGACAACATGCCAGGGTCAACCATAATAGGAGACAAATAAAATTAGAAATGCACGCACACAGTCACGCACGTGCACACACACAAACCAATATATGGGAAACTATTCAAGGAGTAATTATGCTAATCTTTCATGTTATTGCTAGTGAGTTCCGCGATAATATCCCTGTCAGATTAAATCTGATAATCTTACTATGGTTATTTAAACATAAACATTTGAGATTATGAATTCTCCTTGATTCAAACAACTTTACCTTACATAGATAGATAGATAGATAGATGCATAGAGACTAAGATACATATATCACGAACCCACAGATTTTACAAATACATGACTGTATTGTTTGCTTTTGGAAGTGATAAATATCTTCAACTCAAACATGTATTCTTCTTTAACCGATTTTTTGTCTCCATCTTTACCCCCCTCTCTCTCTCTCTCTCTCTCTCTCTCTCTCTCTCTCTCTCTCTGAATATATATATATATATATATATATATCAAACTATCTATCTATCTATCTATCTATCTATCTATCTATCTTGGTCTATTGATATCTATATATCACGCACTTGCACTCATACAAAAACACGCATTACACGCACACACATACATACATACACACGCACATGTGAATAAAATTTGCCAGTGAAGTAACACGTCATTAAAATTTGGGTGGGGGTTACATAGTTGTGGAAATACAAAGATATCATCAATTGTGAAAAAAAAAGAAAAAGAAGTTCTTCGATAATATTTCTGGTCTATTTTAAACCGGAAAGCAGATTCTGAGATAGATAGATAGATAGATAGATAGATAGATAGATAGATAGATAGATAGATAGATAGATAGATAGATAGAAAAAGAACAGGATAGATAGATAGATAGATAGATAGATAGATAGATAGATAGATAGATAGATAGATGCAGGTGTTTGCCTGAAATGTTTTTAGAAACTGTGCAGTGCTGACTGAATACAGTACGTGGCTTTTGACTTTCAATAATGATTCAATATTCTTCTTTAAAAAATAATCGCTGATGTGTATATGAATAAATACGGATTCTTTTGGAAGGAAGTATTTGGATAGATAGCATGATCAAATTACTCGCACGTTTGCTTGTAGCATCATCTATGTCGTAGAAAGAATGGCGACAATTGTCATCAACGTCAATAAAGCAAATGAAACAGGTCAT